ATTGTTGCATACTGTTTCACAAAATATATTTTTTTAAATAGTAGACAGTATACAGTATATATCCAGTAGATTCCTATTCCATTCTGAGCTTCCTGCATGTGTTCAGGATCCTGTCGCTAGCCTGCAGTCCGAGCGGAACGTCGTTCGTCTGCTCTGCCGCGGCTCCGGCTGCTCAATCTGGTGTTGTGATGGAGGGCGAAGCACGAGTTTCGGCTCCTGTATCCGGACAGCTGCTACTGTGGGACACCAAAACCGTCAAACAGCAGGTACTGAAGCCAAACGGCACCAATACAGAACTGTATTGACTGAAAACTCACTGTAATGATGTTTGTCTTGTTGCATTCAGCTACAGTTTGCGCTGGAGCCGGGTCCGGTCGCCATAAACTGCACGGCGTTTAACCACAACGGAAACCTGCTGGTGACCGGAGCCGCAGACGGGATGATACGACTGTTCGGTAAGAAAGTTATCATGGTGACGGTTGAGCTGAGATTCAGATTTAGTCGCATGTATTTCTTTAGCGCTTTATACAAAACTAAGCAGTGTTACTATTTTAAATTTCATCAATTATAAACCAAATTTCAGCTGTTAAGCTCTACAGAAGACAATAGTGTCATTATTCAGATCAATTCAGTTCAATGTTGATTCAGTTCAGTTCAATATCACTGTCAATGTTGCAAAGTTCATCATTTATAAAATAAGTTCAATTCAGTTCTAAAGGAGCCATACAAAAGAAAATTACGTCATTATTCAGATCAATTTAGTGCAGTGTTGATTCAATTTAGTTCAGTGCTGATTCAATTTAGTTCAGCATTGATTCAGTTCAGTTCAATAACAGTGTAGATGTTGCAAAGTTCATCAATTATAAAATAAGTTCAATTCAGTTCTAAAGTAGCTTTACAATAGAAAATAGTGTCGTTATTCAGATCAATTTAGTGCAGTGTTGATTCAATTTAGTTCAGTGCTGATTCAATTTAGTTCAGCATTGATTCAGTTCAGTTCAATAACAGTGTAGATGTTGCAAAGTTCATCAATTATAAAATAAGTTCAATTCAGTTCTAAAGTAGCTTTACAATAGAAAATAGTGTCGAAAATAAGTTCAATTCAGTTCTAAAGTAGCTTTACAAAAGAAAATAGTGTCGTTATTCAGATCAATTTAGTTCAGTGTTGATTCAATTTATTTCAGCATTGATTCAGTTCAGTTCAATATCAGTGTCGATGTTCCAAAGTTAATCAGTTATGAAACACATTCAGTTTCAGCTGTAAAGCAGAATAGTTGAATTATTCTGCTCAAATTTAGTTAAATATTGATTCAGTAAAATTAATCAAATTGAAATTAATACAATTTCAGCTAAAGCAGCTCTACGGAAGACAATAGATCCATTTTCCAGCTCAGTTTAGTTCAGTGTTGATTCAGTTCACTAACAGTGTCAAGCTCTACATAAGACAAAAGTGTCATTATTTAGTTCAGTTCAGTTCAATTTTGTTCTCATCCAGTAGTGCCAGTGCAGTTAAATCGATAACATTACTGAATATTAATCATCTTTTAAACCCCATGTTGCTCGCATTTAATGTGGATGTTGAAGTGTTTGTGTCTGCTGCGTTTCTCTGCAGACATGCAGCGCTATGAGAGCGCGTTGAGCTGGAAGGCTCATGACGGCGAAGTGTACAGCGTGGAGTTCAGCTACGACGAGAACACCGTCTTCAGCATCGGCGAGGACGGGAAGGTGATGCGAATCTCTATGCTGTATTGCTTTCTACGCCACATGCCACTCGTCTTTTAATAGCGTCTCTGATTAAACTTCAGCAGCAAAAATGGTGTTCGAGTTGAGAAGTCTGATTCAGTTCCCTGTATCAGTTCAATATCTTTTAAGTTATGTGTTAAGTAATCGGTAATATTGTGTTTGTTGTCAGTTCGTGCAGTGGAATATCCACCGCTGTGGCGTGAAACAGTCGGAGTACTCGCTGTCCCAGGATGCCGTGGGGCCGTTTGTCCTGTCGGGATACAGCGGCTATAAACAGGTTCAGGTTCCACGCGGCCGACTCTTCGCTTTCGACTCTGAGGGCCAACATGTTCTCACCTGCTCCAGCAACGGAGGAAATATCTACCGGGTAAAACAACACATTTAACATACACTCACACCTGTCAGGTGAGTCTAGTTCATTGAGGAATTGGTTGTTTTGTTTGTTTTTTGCTTTCGTCACTAGTATGTTTCTGTCATTATGAACGAGTGTTATTTTACTATCATTGGTATACTATTATAGTTTTTATTAATATTTTGAACTAGTTTTTATTTTTGTCTTCCTCTTACATTTTAATTTGAAAGTTTTAGTATTTTTTTATAATTTTTTTAATGTGTCTATACAGATTTTATTTAGTTTTATTTCAGTTTTAGTTATTTTAATACTTCAACTTATTTTATTTCAGCTAGTTGTAAGGGCAGCATTTTTCATTTTTGTTTAGTTTAAGTTTTCTATATTTTATTCCAGTTTACATTTGCTTTATTTAAGTTACTAACAGTTAAAATTATTATTTTTTGTTTTAGTAATTTTATTGCTTTTCTCATTTTTATTAGTTTCTTTAAATGTTTCTATATATTTTGTTTTCAATTTTATTACAGTTTTAATTTTCGAATTTATTTTTCGACTTTAAACAAAAAGTGAGAAATGCTACTTTTGCAACTAGCTGAAATAAAATAAGTTGCAATAATAAAAAAAGTTTACTTCTTAATATTTTATTTTATTTCACTTCCTATTTATTTTAATTATTTAGTTTTATGTTTTTGTGTTGTTCTCGTTTTATTGGTTTTTAATATGTATAGTTTTTATGAAGTATTATTTCAAATTATTATTTTAATTTGAGTTATTTGAGTACTTAAGCTTAAACTAAACAACAATGAGAAATGCTGCCTTGGCAACTATAGCTGAAATAAAATGTTATATTTTATTATTTATTTATTTTAGCTCAAGTATCAGAAATGTTTATTCGTGGATTTAGTTTTAATGTTATGGGCCTAGCCTAATATCTGCTCTGCTCTTGTCTAGTTGAATAAGGCGGACGCGGGTCTGGAAAGCGTCTTGTCTCTCGGCGGTCATAAAGCGCCCGTCGTGACGGTTGATTGGTGCTCAGCGATGGACTGCGGCACCTGCCTCACCGCGTCTATGGACGGCAAGATCAAACTCAGCACGCTGCTCGCTCAGAAACCCTGAGTATTTAGTGCCAGTGAGGAAGATGATGATGATGATGATGATGACTGAAGCAGAATCTCTGCTAACGTTTAAATCACGTGATGTCTTATGAACCAATCATCGCTGACAGGTGACCGTTAGAATATCAAAACAATGTTACTGATTTAAAGACGACAAATCTACATTTTCACTGAATGATATAACAGACCATATAGATCCAGAGAGTGATGACGTATAATATATTTTTCACAAAGCGTTTATGTTTCTTTGCCAGTTAGTGATGTCTAAGAATATGTGGAGAAATGTTTCTTGAGAAAAGAACAAACGAACTAAGATGGTGTTTATTTCTTACTTATGGAACCATAAAATGCAACTTAACCAAGTAATAAAGCATCTGAATGATGTTTAAACAAATTATTATTTTTTTGCGTCCTGTTTTGCATTAAAAAACATGTTCAAACTAAATCCTGTGCATCATTTAAAGTGCGCTTTTGTGATTGAATTAGAAATACAACGACAAACAAATTAATTTGAAATATATTCACAGCAATAGAATTACAAGTCTCTTAAAATGGTTTTAAAGCAAAAATAACCACTTAGATGAATGATTCAGTATAAATGTGTGTTATTTACTCATGTACGCAGTGTTTTACAGATAGATATGTAATGTCATATCATGGTATCCATGTGTAGATATTAAACCAGGTTTACTTATTTTTTTATCATGATTAGAGATTTGATTAAACAGGATTGGTTGGTAATTCTATCACTCTAAAGTGTTAACATTTTCCATTGTAAGTGCATTCATGGTTCAGTTTTACAATCTGAGGGAAAAGTAGTTTTGATTATTGGTAATTGAAAGGGATAGAACACACACACACACACACACACACACATCAGTAATTACTTACCATGGTGTTGTTCTATAGCTGTATGACCTTTCGTTTTCTGAACACATGAGAGAAATTAAAAACGTCTTAATCGAGTTTGTTCTAATGGCAGTGAAGTGTGGCCATCTTTTCAAGCTTTACTAGCTGGCAAAAACAAACCGAAATGTCATTTATTATTTAGCGAAAAACTTGACTTCAACCGTTGCGCTTCTGTTTGAGTTCATGAGAGCGGCAGTTCGCGCCGAGCCAAATTCTTTAAATCAGTTCTCGCGGTCAAATCTGTAAACTGTCATTCTGACAGGAGACAGCTGTAACGGACGTGTTTACCTCCAGAGAACCAATAAATGTCTTCGGGCAGGAGTCGCAAACCAGTATTTTATAAGACGTTTGCATCCTTTCTTTAAGTTCACTGCATTATCAAGACCAAACACATCTTCTAAGTGTTTAAGAAAAGGTCAAACATCTTTAGAACAGCAGCAACGTGAGTAAAAAATTACGGTATTTTCTTTTCTTTTTTTTTTTAAGTTATAGGCTTCGGTTATACTGTAGAAAATTTGTGCGAACTGACTCATGAAGATACTTAATCATTCATCTTTTTAATGATATCTATTCACAGAATCACATAAAGTAACTTCATAGAAATGTATTTCCTTAATTGACAACTAGTCAAAAAACTTTTTTGGATCTTTTAATATTAGATATTGTTGCTGTTCTCCTTGTCTTCCATTACAAGTTAATGGGGAAAAATATATATATATTTTTAAAAACTCTTTTAGATCTGCCCAAAACTGGTTAAGCATTATTTGAAACCTACAATATCGGGGTGAGTAAAAATGACTGAACAATTTTTTATTTTTTTTTTGAGTGAACTAAGTTAACCCAGGTAAGAATTGACCCATGAAGAGACACTATGTCATCATTAACCTTTTTAATTATATCCATTCAACGAATCACATGAAGTAACTTTATAGAAATTGACAACTAGTCATGAAACATACCCAAGGAAAACATTACATTACATAAACATTACTCATACAAGTAAATTCTTCGGTATGGTCGAGATCTTTTAATTTTAGATGACATTGTTGTATTTTCGTTGTCCATTAAATATGAAAAGGAAAAAAATCTCTCTCAGATCTGCTCAATACATTCTGCCCAAAACTAGTCAAGTGCCACTTGAAGACATATTTACTGATGATGTATTAAAAATTTTAATTGTTTGGTTGCCGGAATTTTACCGTAAAAAATACAGTAGCAATGTTTTAGGTTTTAACTTAAATTTACAGTGAAATACCATATTTTCATTAACTGATATAACGTTAATATACCAACATATTGAAGTAACACACAACCCTAATATACAAAACTGATAAGAAAAAACTAAGAAGAAACATAGTTATTTCAACAAAAAAACATCAAATTTGAAATGTAACGCAGGGAATTCTGGGAATGTCAATTTACGGTTACTCACTGTAAATTATAGTCTTTTTCACTTCCAAAAACGGTATACTACCGTAAAATTAATGTTCAATACATGTAATGTCCAATACAGTTTTTCACCGTATATAGTAGGGGAATTTACCGTTAACCATTTAACAGGTTTTTACTGTAGCATTTTTACAGTCTTTTACCTTTAAATTCACGGTCATTTTTTAACAGTGCATTTAAGATCTTAAAAATAAGTACTAAATTGAATCAAATGTTCCCAACCTAAAATAGAAAACTTAGTTAATATGCTACAATGGTGAAGATATATTTACTTAAAAAATTCCACCATATCATTTGTTTCTGAAACAACCAATCAGTTCAATCACAGCAGTACATGCGCATGTCGTTGAGGGCCGTGTCGTCTCCGACTCCCTGCGGCTGCTCCACCATCGTCTCGATGCCACAGATTCCCTTTCCTCCACACGTCTCGCTCCAGTCGCCCCATTCGCCCCACGACATCCCAGATCCCTGCAGCATTTCCGCATTTCCACTGCAGTTAAACCTAGAAATTCAGATAACCAGAACTAGCCTGAGTCCAACTGTCCAGCTCTTGGCGTTAAATAACTCTGGACGCTTGACCGGGTCACTTCATATCCATGTCAGATGAGCATCATGCAGTGACGTGTTTGTACAGCTTGTTATGGGACGCTGTGAGAACGACATTCTTAAACCAGAATCCTGCTGCTTTAGGAAAACCGGTTGTCACAAGTTCATCACCTGATGTTGTTTGCGGCCGTGTCGTCCATGATCCCTTTGTAGGGTTCCACTCTCAGCTCAAAAGATGTCAGAAATCCACTCGAGCACCATTTGATATCTGACCATTTTCCCCAGCTGAGGAAAGAACGTGATAAGGAACAAGTTGGTGGTATAACCAGTTATTTGTTAGTTAAATAAAATATCCAGCTTGAATAGCTAAAAACTCTGATGATAGCAGCTCTGTTCCCAAACCTAGAATTCTGCATTCTATTGTCTACATACACTCTAAAAAATGCTGGGTTGTTTCAACCCAACTCTGGGTAAAATATAGACTAACCCAACTTTTGGGATAAAAATTGAATGTAGAAATTTAACCCAACGGTTGGGTTAGTGCATATCTGACCCAAAGTTGGGTTGAAACAACCCAGGATCTTTTAGAGTGTAGGCAGCAAATCCTTCATAAGATTCTCTCTATACAGACATTAGGTTTTGGAACAGAGCCTCTGTATTACGTCCAGTTCAAGCTCTTCACCTTCCTACATCGGACTGAACTGTGGCGTAGTCCTCGTACGGGCCCGATGAGCTTTTAGACGGGTTGATGCAGTGAAGACGAATCCCATTGAGCGCCGTGTTGTCACCAACCAGCAGAGATTCCCACATATCTGCCACCTTCAGAAAAACAACAGCATGAGCTGTACTAATAACTTAAAGGCAGGGTATGTGATTTTTCAAAAACGCTTTAGAAAACCGATTCGGGCCGAATAGCAAAACAAACTTGTAGCCAATCAACAGTAAGGGGCGTGTCTACTCGTGATGTGGAGGAGAGAGCGCTCAGTGCACAGGACGGACACAGCGAGCCGAGCGACAGAGAGATAGAGATGGCGGATAAAAAACAAAAGAGGAAAACGTCTGCGGAACGATAAGGCAAGAAGTAGGACCCGTGTAAATATCGGATCAGGTTTCCAGAGCTGGAGAGAACTCAAGGAGCGGAAGACCTGCGATCGGACGCCGAGGTTGCTTTGTTTCTTCTCGATAGGTGAGTAACACCGTGTCTACAACAGCTAAAGTCTGCCTACACTGGACGCGATCAAACCACCGCTGAAAACCATATGAAATGTGTGTCAGCACGTCATAAATAGAATCCGGCAGCAGTTTTCTGTTGGGATTTGTTGCGTCCGTAGACACGGTGTAACATTGGTTTTGCTTTGTTTCACAGAACTAATCGTTGCCTGGGTTGCATACGTATGTGTGGGCGGAGCTATCAAAATAGAGGCAAGACCCTTTTGGGGTAGGGGCGTGTTTGTTTTGGTGATTTCAAATATCAACATTGGCTGCCAGAAATCGCTTACCCTGCCTTTAATGCTTTATAGTCACACTGAGCAGGTTCATTATTGTTCAACAAAAACTACTACTTTAAAAAAAATACATTGACTGAAATCAACTCAATAAAAAAAAAAAATCTTGCAGTAAATATTTCACATTTTCATTTGTTTTAAGCTGAAGTATTAAAATGACAAAAAGTAGAAATATCTAAACCAAAATTTTAATAATAAATATTAAAATCTAAATAGACAAACTAATAAACTGACAAAAATACAAAACAAATTTACTAGAACGTAATATAAAGTTAGAATTGAAAATATAAGAATAAAAACTAAATACAAATATAAATAAATACCATAAGACCATATATATGATAATGTGACACTGGTTTGGAGCTGCGTGACAGGATATTTTACATGTGGTGTTTTATACATATAAATAATCAGCTAGTTGGGGTTTGATATATTATGTGAGCATACTGTATGCATGCAGGAAAAGTTGGATATACTGTATGTGAAGTTTAGATATTGAGGATTATGAAATCTATGTGTTTAGTTTTAGTTTATGACATTTTGGTGTTTGTTTCTTTATAAAGCTACCATGGCTATTTTCATGGCAAGAAAAAGGTTCAAATGTAGCAAAATATAAAAAGAAGAAGAAGAAGAAAAAAAGATTAACTTCGAGTAAAAAATCAAAAATTTCTGGTGTGCAAATATCTGGCCTGATATTTTGTTGTCCCAATTACTATTAGATGCTGTGTATCAGTGCCATGATTACAATTTTACATTTTGGGGTTATATCATTTTGATCATATCGCACACATGCCATAATACATATGTGACCCTGCAGCACAAAAGCAGTGTTAAGTCTCTGGGGGATATTTGTAGCAATAGCCAACAATACATTGTATGGGTCAAAATTATAGATTTTTCTTTTATGCCAAAAATCATTAGGATATTAAATAAAGATCATGTTCCATGAAGATATTTAGTAAATCTCCTACCGTAAATATATCAAAACTTAATGTTTGATTAGTAATATGCATTGCTAAGAACTTAATTTGAACAACTTTAAAGATGATTTTCTCAATATTTAGATTTTTTTTTGCTCCCTCAGATTCTAGATTTTCAAATAGTTGTATCTCGGCCAAATATTGTCCTCTCCTAACAAACCATACATCAATGGAAAGCGTATTTATTCAGCTTTCAGATGATATATACATCTCAATTTCGAGAAATTGACCCTTATGACCGGTTTTGTGCTCCAGGGTCACATATTATATTAATATCATACCGTGTGCAACTGTAGAATTTACTATAGGTTAACATTAACATTAACTATAGTCTGCCTGACTTAGATTGCATTAGGTGAAAAACAAATAACTTCACAATAATCACTTATAACCAGACTAATCATTCACAATAAGATCAGGAACATGAATAAAGAAAGTAAATAGTCAGTTTTGATTTCATGTGGAGCCACTGAACCTCACACTACTGTATACTGGTGATAGTCACTCACCTTAAGACTAAAGCCTGTGGCATACATTCCAGTCGGACACATTTCCTTCTGACCCCATGAGCCCCATCTCATCCCGTTATGGACCCTCAGCAAAGATCTGAAAGGTCTGCTGATGGTTCGCTCAAAGCGTCCTCCTGCGATCACATACGGCCCGAAAACAGCCAGCAGTGAAATCAACGTCAGAGAAATCAACTTGTACATGGTTTGAGAGCCGTCTTTATGTCTCCTGCCTGCTGGAGATCGGAACAGATGTGTGTGTGTGTGAGAGAGAGTGCGTGTGACTGTGTGTGTGTGCGTGTGACTGTGTGTGTGTGTGTGTGTGAGAGAGAGTGTGTGTGTGTTTGTGTCTGAGTGCGTGTGACTGTGTGTGTGTGTGTGTGAGAGAGAGAGTGTGTGTGTGTTTGTGTCTGAGTGCGTGTGACTGTGTGTGTGTGTGTGTGAGAGAGAGAGTGTGTGTGTGTTTGTGTCTGAGTGCGTGTGACTGTGTGTGTGTGTGTGTGAGAGAGAGAGTGTGTGTGTGTTTGTGTCTGAGTGCGTGTGACTGTGTGTGTGTGTGTGTGAGAGAGAGAGTGTGTGTGTGTTTGTGTCTGAGTGCGTGTGACTGTGTGTGTGTGTGTGTGAGAGAGAGAGTGTGTGTGTGTTTGTGTCTGAGTGCGTGTGACTGTGTGTGTGTGTGTGTGAGAGAGAGAGTGTGTGTGTGTTTGTGTCTGAGTGCGTGTGACTGTGTGTGTGTGTGTGTGAGAGAGAGAGTGTGTGTGTGTTTGTGTCTGAGTGCGTGTGACTGTGTGTGTGTGTGTGTGAGAGAGAGAGTGTGTGTGTGTTTGTGTCTGAGTGCGTGTGACTGTGTGTGTGTGTGTGTGAGAGAGAGAGTGTGTGTGTGTTTGTGTCTGAGTGCGTGTGACTGTGTGTGTGTGTGTGTGAGAGAGAGAGTGTGTGTGTGTTTGTGTCTGAGTGCGTGTGACTGTGTGTGTGTGTGTGTGAGAGAGAGAGTGTGTGTGTGTTTGTGTCTGAGTGCGTGTGACTGTGTGTGTGTGTGTGTGAGAGAGAGAGTGTGTGTGTGTTTGTGTCTGAGTGCGTGTGACTGTGTGTGTGTGTGTGTGAGAGAGAGAGTGTGTGTGTGTTTGTGTCTGAGTGCGTGTGACTGTGTGTGTGTGTGTGTGAGAGAGAGAGTGTGTGTGTGTTTGTGTCTGAGTGCGTGTGACTGTGTGTGTGTGTGTGTGAGAGAGAGAGTGTGTGTGTGTTTGTGTCTGAGTGCGTGTGACTGTGTGTGTGTGTGTGTGAGAGAGAGAGTGTGTGTGTGTTTGTGTCTGAGTGCGTGTGACTGTGTGTGTGTGTGTGTGAGAGAGAGAGTGTGTGTGTGTTTGTGTCTGAGTGCGTGTGACTGTGTGTGTGTGTGTGTGAGAGAGAGAGTGTGTGTGTGTTTGTGTCTGAGTGCGTGTGACTGTGTGTGTGTGTGTGTGAGAGAGAGAGTGTGTGTGTGTTTGTGTCTGAGTGCGTGTGACTGTGTGTGTGTGTGTGTGAGAGAGAGAGTGTGTGTGTGTTTGTGTCTGAGTGCGTGTGACTGTGTGTGTGTGTGTGTGAGAGAGAGAGTGTGTGTGTGTTTGTGTCTGAGTGCGTGTGACTGTGTGTGTGTGTGTGTGAGAGAGAGAGTGTGTGTGTGTTTGTGTCTGAGTGCGTGTGACTGTGTGTGTGTGTGTGTGAGAGAGAGAGTGTGTGTGTGTTTGTGTCTGAGTGCGTGTGACTGTGTGTGTGTGTGTGTGAGAGAGAGAGTGTGTGTGTGTTTGTGTCTGAGTGCGTGTGACTGTGTGTGTGTGTGTGTGAGAGAGAGAGTGTGTGTGTGTTTGTGTCTGAGTGCGTGTGACTGTGTGTGTGTGTGTGTGAGAGAGAGAGTGTGTGTGTGTTTGTGTCTGAGTGCGTGTGACTGTGTGTGTGTGTGTGTGTGAGAGAGAGTGTGTTTGTGTCTGAGTGAGTGTGAGTGTGCGTGTGACTGTGTGTGTGTGCGTGCGACTGTGTGTGAGAGAGAGAGTGTGTGTGTGTTTGTGTCTGAGTGCGTGTGGGTGTGTGTGTGTGCGTGTGACTGTGTGTGTGTGCGTGTGACTGTGTGAGTGTGTGACTGTGCGTGTGACTGTGTGTGTGTGTGCGTGTGACTGTGTCTGAGTGCGTGTGACTGTGTGTGTGTGTGTGTGAGAGAGAGTGTGTGTGTGTGTTTGTGTCTGAGTGCGTGTGACTGTGTGTGTGTGTGTGTTTGTGTCTGAGTGCGTGTGACTGTGTGTGTGTGTGTGTTTGTGTCTGAGTGCGTGTGACTGTGTGTGTGTGCGTGTGACTGTGTGTGTGTGTGTGTGTGAGAGAGAGAGTGTGTTTGTGAGAGAGTGTGTGTGTGTGTGTTTGTGTGTGAGTGCGTGTGACTGTGTGAGTGCGTGTGACTGTGTGTGAGTGCGTGTGACTGTGTGAGTGTGTGTGTGAGAGAGAGTGTGTGTGTTTGTGTCTGAGTGCGTGTGACTGTGTGTGAGTGCGTGTCTGTGTGTGAGTGCGTGTGACTGTGTGTGAGTGCGTGTGACTGTGAGTGCGTGTGAGTGTGTGAGTGCATGTCTGTGTGTGTGACTGTGTGAGTGCGTGTGACTGTGTGTGAGTGCGTGTCTGTGTGTGTGTGACTGTGTGTGTGAGTGCGTGTGTCTGTGTGTGAGTGCGTGTGACTGTGTGTGTGAGTGCGTGTGTGAGTGCGTGTCTGTGTGTGTGTCTGTGTGTGTGTGTGTGACTGTGTGTGAGTGCGTGTCTGTGTGTGTGAGTGCGTGTCTGTGTGTGTGAGTGCGTGTGACTGTGTGTGTGTGTGTGACTGTGTGAGTGCGTGTGTCTGTGTGTGAGTGCGTGTGACTGTGTGTGTGAGTGCGTGTGTGAGTGCGTGTCTGTGTGTGTGTCTGTGTGTGTGTGTGTGACTGTGTGTGAGTGCGTGTCTGTGTGTGTGAGTGCGTGTCTGTGTGTGTGAGTGCGTGTGACTGTGTGTGTGTGTGTGACTGTGTGAGTGCGTGTGTCTGTGTGTGAGTGCGTGTGACTGTGTGTGTGTGAGTGTGTGTGAGCGAGCGTGTGTGTGTGAGTGAGCGTGTGTGTGTGTGAGTGAGTGTGTGTGTGTGTGTGTGAGTGTGAGTGTGTGTGTGTGTGTGAGTGTGTGTGTGTGTGTGTGTGTGTTTGCCGGTTCGTCACAGAGCTCAGTGTTGGACATTGACCCTCCATCAACAGCTAGATCCAAGTCCAACCAGCACAGCAAATAGATCCTCTCTCCAAAACGTTATCAAAGTAAATATAAACTGATCAGTGGCCCAAGACATCAATAACCTGCAAATATACAAACACTGATCCAACAAAAATATCTGCAGGCCTATGTTTGACCGTGAGTGACCATCCAAAGTGTTTTACTTGGTAATATGCCTCTAAAATACTGTGTTACTTGTTTGATTTTATATCTTTAATGATTCAGACAGAAATATTTAACAGTGGAGAACATCAGACTGACCCTAAAATAAATGCCGGGCATTTGCTTACAGGTTTACTGACATTTCCTGATGTAAATATCAATGCTTGCAAGTAAGCACAAGTTAAAGGAACAGTTTAGCTAAAAATGTAAATTCAGTCATCATTTATTCTCCCTCGTGTCGTTCCAAACCTATATGACTGTCTTTCTTCCGACAGTGAGAATTTAAATAGCTATCATAAAGTATTTTCTTGACTGCTGAATATGTCTTCTGAAAAAAAAACATAAAAACAAGAATATATCATATATGTCGGATCAATTAGCTAAAAAAAAAAATCTGTTTATCATTATTATTGTTCCAGCCAGTAATCAGACAAATTATTCAAAACTAAAATGATTGTGGATATTAAAGTCAATGATGTGCATGTTAACACAATCAGCTCAAATGCTGCTCATTGCCAGGAAAAGCATGAGCCCTTTGAAACAGCTTTGATTGATGAGTTCTCAATATTAATATTAAACAGATACTGTGAGCGCTAATCAACACTGAACACCAGCTCGAGTTCATGATACGAGAGCAATGAGGTCACATGACTCTCCACTTCCCAGGTCGAGTTCTTCCGTTTCCAGCTGATGAAACTTCAAAACAATAACATCAAAAATATAGCCGCAAGCTGCAATCATCTGGATCTGATCACAAATATCTCGTGCAGATGAATACTGGAGGTGATATGATTGAAATGTGTGTGTGATACACAGTATGATACTGGATCTTATAGCTCACTTTCCATTTTTCTGATTGGCAGATCTCTATTCAGGATTATGGCTACTGTAATATTTTGCAAATAGTGCCATCTCAAGTTAAATTAAGACATTTTAATGTTACACTCTTTTTTATGAAATTTTTTTTTTTGCAGTGATTCCACATTTTGGAAACCTTTCAGGGGAACAGTTCCTAAAAGAATCATTTATTTATTAGTCTGAAGAATAATTCAATCTAATGAACCTTTTTCTACTATAAAGAAACTATAAAGTATAAACAATTCTATACTTTATAACTCGATGTGCTAAAGGATGTGAAACTCAAGGTGTTTCTTAGAAAGAAACGTTAATGCGATTTGGCTCAAAAATAAAATAATAATGAGGATAATTCAGTCAACCTTGGCATTTTTGGGGGTCTTGATGATCCTGTTCTTTATTTTGTGATAATGCTGCTGATTGTGCATGATCTCTTACAAAACTGTGGTATGGTTCATGTTAGCTCATCATGGTGATATCATAGTCTTCTTGCTGTTTTTGTTGTGGTCCTCTTAAACCTGAAAGAAAAACCAAACTCAGTTGCTCTGCAGTATGTGACGATCCGAGTGTTTGATTGCGATCGCATCACCTTAATCGCAGCAGAACATGCGCGCGTCATTGAGAGCGGTGTCGTCTCCAAATTTCAGCTTCTCTTCTATCCGTGTCATGATGCCACACATCCCTCTTCCCTGACACGATGGGCTCCAGTTGCCCCACTCGCCCCCGTGTGTGCCGTCACCCAGCAGCAAAGACCCTCCACTACAATTGAATCTGAAAAATGTGGCAGTATTTTGATAAACATGAAGCTTTGGAATGGTTTGCTTTGGCCAAGAAGAAATATACAGCCTATTAATTTACTCTTTATAGAACACTTACGATTGTGCTGTTGGTCATGTGATCACCTGCCATGCTTATATGTCACCCTGGACCACAAAACCAGTCATAAGGGTACATTTTTTTAAAATGGAGATTTATGCAAAAAAAATAAAAAATCTAACTATTGAGAAAATCACCTTTAAAGTTGTCCAAATGAAGTTCTTAGCAATG